GCCTCCCTGCTTTGAGATTGAGGGACAGGGCCCTTGGGGGGCTGATAATCACTGGATAGTTGCAAACATCTGAGGACAGCCTGGACAGAGGAAGTAAGGAAGACATCCGCTTCCGCAGGGATGGAGCCGTGGGCGCAGGTCCAGGCCCAGGGACTCAGAAAGATCAAAAGCACTCTCCAGAACAGGATGAAGCCAAGCAAGGTGGCTGGGGTGACCCTCCCTCATCCAGCTGACGTTTCCAGGCAGGGGAGAGAAAAGGAGCAGCCACCCAGGGCTGCTGGAAAACCACCATGCTGGGGAATCCTTTGTTTTCATTTCCCAACTCGGAGGCCCCTCGGCTGTGCCAGCATCAGATCCTTGACTCAAAAACCACAGGGGACCCTAGGCGAGCCTGACACAGAGGAGCCTCAGCTGTGCCAGCCTGAGGGCTTGGAAAATTGAGGCCCCAGAAGCTGGTTTTAGCAATTTATGAATAATAAATGTAATTAGCATGATGGAAAACAGAATGTGGAGGCTAAGCAGGGGCCCCAGGGCAAGTGTCTCGGCAGGTTGCCGTGCGTGTCACTTCGTCTGCTCTGGTCCCTCAGAATGGACAGGTGGTCTGGAGGTGAGGGGGTACCAAACTCTTATCCTGGCCACAATCTAGAACAAAGGACAACTGAGGTCTAGGTCTGACCAGGGGACAACCCCTGGCCCCCCGAACTGACTCCCTTCCTCAATCTCAGGTAGGGCTTGCCTGGTGCCTCTCTGGTCTCAGTTTTGTCACCTGTGAAATGGGAATGATGATTCTACTGTGGCTGTTGTCACATATGAGCTGTGTGAGTGCCAGCTGTTACTTGCATGACCCTCAGTTCTCGCTCTCTACAGTATCTTAGGGTAAGAATTTTCAAGGGCTACAGGCAGACAGCTTCCCTGAGCACCCACGCCCAGCACAGCTCCAACCACGTTCCTGTGGTGTCACCTGCTAGGTCATGGAAACCAGTCCCTGATCTGAGGCCGGCTGGACTGCTGTTGTTGCCACCAGGCTCTTGGCAAGTCCCCTCCTTCCCGGTGCCCAGCACTGAAAGCTCACGCTGCACGCTGATGAGAGAAGGAAGAGGAAGAGTGTGAAGAACAGGGGAAGGGAGAAGAAGAAAGGCGGGGAGGAGGAAGGGCAGGGAGAGGAGAGGAGGGGACAGATAGGAAGAGGGAGGAGGAGGGAAACGGGGCGGGGTGGGGGCCCCACAGGCTGCCTTCTCCACAGGCCTGACCACCTTATTGGGAGGCCAGCGTGAGCCTCCTCAGGGTGCTCCTGCCTGGCCAAGATGGGTGCAGACTTGTCAAGCCCCAGGGACACCTGTCCCACTGTGGCATGGCTGTCATGACATGTCTGACATGGGGCTTGTCAGAGAGGATGGGTGAGGTGCTGCTAGAGGTTCTCACACCACAAATTCCACCTTTGTGGGAAAGTCCACGTGATCACCACCTGCATCGTCCTACCCTTGTCGCTTGTTCACAGCAATCACTGCACAGCAACAGCCAGGGCCCAGCCAGAGGTCCCGGGAGCGGGTGGAGGTGGAAAGGATCGAACAGGCAGCTATCACAGCACGTTGTGCATGTGCCTGGAGCCCCTGCGGCATGTCCACCAGGGCCATGGGCAATGCTATCGCATACCTACAGTGCGCCTTCTGCACAGCGCTGTGATGGCAGAATGAGCAGCGTGGACAGGGTGGACCCAGGCCCCAGGCTTTCCCTGCATAACTGTGAGAGCATTGAGCATACAAGGCAGAACCCAGAGGCTAGGAGAGCACAGTCTTGGATGAGACTTGAGAGAAAACTTCCTGGAGAAGGTGGCGTCTTCAGCTGCATGCAAAGCAAGTGGGAAATCCAGAGGCCAGGAGACGCCTCTGTATGACAGGAGCAGCACCTGTTGGAGTGGGGCCCCTCTGGGAACAGGGCAGGGAGCCTGGGAAGGGATGCACCTCCTGGTCACTGGGCTCTGACCCTCAGAAAGGCGGCATCGCCTGGTCCTGGCACAGCACTCTGAATATCAGTCTCACAAGAGGTGAGTTCTTCCTTTCAAGATTCTTTTAAATGATAGCTTGTTTAACTGCCAACATCAATTGGCCGGCAATTCTGTGAACAAATGGTTCTCTGCTTGTCTAGAGTCCAGCCACTTTTATTTGTCCCCAAGTATTTGGCAGCAACCAGTTACATCAATAAAGAAACATCAATTTTTAACAGCCACATGAGATGCAAAAGCCTCAGATGGATTTTCCGTGGGCAAACAGGGCACCTGGAGGAGCTGTTATTAACAGCCCTGGGAGACACATGGGCAGGCCCGGGAGACAGCACTCTGGATTTAGACTGGATTAAGGAGACACTGTAGGCACCGGACCTCTAAGCATCATAAATAATGCCAAAATTTTAGATTGTGGTTGAACCTTCTGCTGTCATATTCATTTAGGTCACGATGTGTTTGATGTTTTATAGCAAAATGACAAATATCTTTCTCAATGGCTAACTGCATAGAGCCCACTGGAATAAATCCAACCAAATTGCCCGCTACCGGTAAGCTGGTAGGGACATGCACGGAGAATCTTCAGGCAGGTGGTGGTATCACAAATACTTCAGACAGTAATTTCTGAAGGCACATGGAAGCTGCAGTCTGGGGTCTGTTTTGTCATTGATTCTTGTCACTTCCTGTCATGTAATCTCATTATTGGAGGAGGTGGGGTTCTAAGCCCTTGATCACACTGAGTCAAAGAGAGGGGAAGAAAAAGAGGATGCAGGAAGAATAATGTATGGAGTGTCTAACTGTGAAATATGAGACAGTGAATTAAAGCAATGGGTGATTCTCCCGGACAGCTGGAAATAACCCTCTAAATCCCGCCAGCTGGCCCACTGCCCAGATCCAAGCCCCAAGGATGTTACCAACCACCGAGACTGGGGAAGCGCCCAGTAACCAGGGAGGGATAAGCCGTAGTGCTAGGCACTGAGTGAAGACATCCATCTGCTCTCAGCATCCTGGAGAGCTGCCGTACCTGGACTCCCACTGTGCACCTTCAGTAGGAGAAACTTTACCTACCTTATAACCTTGCCCAGTCCCCCCACCGCCCAACAACACAGTGGGTGCTTCTTCTCCTGGGACAGACCCCCCTGACTCAGTGGTTGCTGGAAAATGGAGGTTGTAGGACATCAAGGTCAAATGGTTTCCATGGTCCTTAGCCCTACTATATGTAAGGCAAGACCTGTGCTAGGGTCCACTATGTCCCCAGCCTTGCCCGAGGGTGAGATCTTATACTGTCCATCTGGCCAGTATAAGATGAGGACTGGAGTGACCCCTGGGTGATGGAGGTGAGGATGGCAGGTTTCTACCGATGGCCCAGGGACATCTGTCCTGGAGGAGACTGTTCTCTCCATGTTAGTGGCCCTGCTTGGAGCAGAACCATGGCACCGCAGAACAACACATGACAGTGTGAAGCTGAGGAGTGGTCATTCCCGACTCTCTCACAGCAATAGCAGAAGCAACTGGAATGCTTTTGAATGAGAGAGCGACCTGGGTGCAGACAGGCTGGTGGTGTGGGCCTCCTCCCTGGCCAAGCAGAAATGGCTGTTACTGGACTAGAGTCTGAGGCCAGACAGCTGCTTTACCCCATGAGCTTCTGCTGGGAGGATGGGTGATGTGGCCGGGGCTGCCACGACTTGGGCACATTGCATGTGCACCCAGAGCCTTGCGATCACATGGCAAAACCAGAGAGCTGCAGCTTCCAGCCCCTCCTCCCTAGGGCTCCTGGCCACAGGTGGGCGGGTGCAAAGGCCTCTCCGCACTGTGCCTGTAGGCAGGGGATGACAGTGGCCTGGCCTCTTGTGGGGCCTGCATGAGGTACCCACTGAGCCTCCCCAGCAGCTTAGTCACCCAGCATTGCCCAGCAATGCCCTGAGGGCCTGGCCATTTGTTTTAGCTTCTTGGGGGAGCTCAGCAAAGGAGACAGCATAAGAAAAACCCAGCCCAAAGATGACCACCACTGATAGTTCAAGCGTCTGTGGGTCACCCAGCCCAGCACTGGGCTGGCCAGGCTGTCCCCACCTCATGAAGGACCGTCAGCCTGTCTGTAATTAAATCAGATCACAACCTCCGAAATGCTGCCACCGTTGGGCCTTGATTAATGCCTTTCATAAACCTCCCCGGAGCAAATGCCAAACTTTACAAGACATGGATCCAAGGAATGCTTTTAAATAATGATTTTATACTGCCTTTTCCTCAAACAAAGCATGGGCCATTTATCACGTTTCTAAGTGACATCCAGTGGGACATGACACAGGATGGAAGACCCCAAGTAGAAACGAACCTTTTCCCCAGGCACAGGCGGCCCAGACACTTCGGCCCATCTTCCTCACCTCACTTAACAGCACCTCGGAATCCCTGGTGCCATCTTAGATTCTCTCCTCACATGACCCTCCCCAGGCTGACAGTCAGTGCTGCTGGCTCCACCTTCAGAGACGCTCACCACTGCAGAGGCCCCTCACTGGCTCCCTGCTCTGGCCCGTGTGACCCAGCTTGCTCTGCTCAGCAGCCCAAAGGCTCCTCCATCAGTCCCTCCTCTGCTCAGCCCCTTGCCTCCTTGGATCTCATCTTCCCCCTCTGCTCTGTCCTCTTGCCTCATTACAACTGGGAATTTCTTGTTATTCCTCTTCTGACAGGCCAGGGTTCTTTACTCCCTTAGAGGCCTTCGACGTCACTGCTATATTCTGGATCTGAAGGGTTCCCCCTAGTCTGTGTGGTAAAGGCTTGGTCCCCAGGGCGGTGCTACTGGGAGGTGGTGGAACCTTTAGGAGGTGGGGCCTAGTGGGAGGTCTTCTAGTCACAGGGGTTGCACTCACAAAGGCAACTATGAGACCTTAGTATCTTTCTGTCCTTTGCTTCCCCGTCATGGGGAGAATGGGTTTAATCAGCCACACGCTCCTGCCACAATGTGTCATCACGACACAGGCCCAAAACAGCAGGACTGACTAATGGATTATGGACCAGAACCTTAAGTTTTCTCTTTATTTAAGGTATTTATAATAGTGATGAAAAGCTGCAAATAACTCCCAATGCTCCCCTTGGTATCATACCCATCTTTATTTTTTTCCACTGTATTTGTCACCATCAAATACACTATGCACTTTACTTATTTGGTTTGCTCCCCATCTAGAGCTTTACAGATAAATCTTCCTTGGTTTTGTCTCCCCAGCTCCTAGGAGAGGGCCTGGCATCTGTCATTACCCAGTAAATGTTTGTGACCCAACAAACCCGCAAGGGGAGGTGGGAAGGCAACAGGCTGGCCTGAAGGGCCCACAGGAGCCTGACCGTCCAGGATGGTGATGGGTGGTGGGCACTCAGCCTGCTTGAGCTGGAGCAGGCGGGATGTCCAGAGGCTTCGGCTGTAATTGAGGGAAACTCCAAATGGTCATATCAGCGCACTCTGAAACAGACAGTTTAGCGAAATGTAATTCCTAGACCTGTGATACACGGAAATGATGCTGCACACTTTGGTCTTGAAGGGATGCTGAAGCAGGTTTCTGCTGTTCCCAACAAGCCCAGTCAGATCAGGCCTGGCTCTAAGACCCTCTGAGACGGCATCTTCAGAAACACGCCCTGCTATCTGATATCCTTCTGGCGAGGTTGGCCTTTGTCTGGCCCCAGGACCACCTGAGAACGATTGCCACACTCGCCTCATTGCGACACCGACACATGCCCTTTATCTGCAAGCCCAGCTGCAGGGACTGATTCCTCAATAACCACCAGGCTGCCAGTGACCACATCTCCAGGAAGCCTGGTACTGGAGGAGGGCACAGGCCCAGGAGGCTACAGCCTTGCTCCAATGCTGCCCAGCCAGGCTAAGTGCCCCAAGAGCTGGGGCAGGAGCTGCAGGTACTCATTCCCCAGCCCTGTTCCTCCTCTTCACTCTAGAACATTTGCTGAGCATTTGTTGTGTGGCAGCTCCTGTCCTGGGACCCACAGCATGGTGTGTTTTCTCTCTGTGCTGTCTACAGCCTGGAACCTGCTGGAACTTTGGGCATCCTTGCTGGTGACCTCTGCCCACCGACCACCCCATGCCCTACCCCCTTCAGTCCAGGCCTTTGCTCTGGACCTGCTGTCCTGAAGGGCTACAGGGAGAACAAGGTTGACTCCCTGGCCATGGGTGGCCTTGTGTGGGGGTAGGTGGGCCTCCTGCCCCTTCTCAGGCAGCCTCTTTCTACTTTATAAGACAGAGCCTTCTTCCTTACCAAGAGGTGCCAGATTCTGCTCTGATTCTGGCATTAGTGAGATGCAGCTTCTAGGGCCAACGCTCAGGGTTCAAATCCTTCCCCCCACCCCTGTCCCAGCCAGTGTGATCTTCAACAGGTTACTAACCAGATAACAAAGTTACTAAGAAGTAATGACCCCCCTCATACCCACACACATGCACACACATAACCCAGGGTCCTTGAAAAAGGACCTGGCAAGCGGTCTACCACTGAGCTACACTCTTGGCTCCTTTTGTTTTATTTTTAGTCGGAGTCTCACTAAGTTGCCCAGGCTGGCCTTGAACATTTAGTCCTCGTGCCTCAGCCTCCCAAGTAGTTAGGCTCATATGTGTGTACCATCATGCTCTGGCTGTTTGTTTTTTTCCTGTTGCTTGTTAGTTTGTTTTCACTTTTGAGATGCGGTCTCTCTATGTATTCCAGGGTGGCCTTGAATTCACTACATAGCCCAGGCTAGCCTTGAACTTGGGGTGACCCTCCTGGCTCAGCCTCCAGAGCGCTGGGATTATAGATGTGTGCCACCATACCCATGGCCTGGCTCTTAACGAAGTCATTTAACAAGTAACTGAGTTGCTTGGCTCTTTGTCCCTCACCTTCCTCTCATAAAATCAGCTTAATGATGATCCCTGGACTCTGAGGGGTGTTTTCAGGATTAAATGGGTCAGATCCTGCACTTAAATATAGACACATGAAGGACCCAGAACAGATGCTGGCCCAGAGCAGGGCTGTGGGCCATGCCCTCCGGGGCTGCCCACTGCTCCTGCAATGAGAACTATGCTCCATGGGGGCAGAGCCTTTCCATCACTGCCGCATTCCCGGGATGACAAACACTGTCCACAGGCAGCAAATGCTTCATGCATGTTTGCTGAATAAATGGGCTGAAAGAGGAGTTGTCTGAGAGTCAGGAGGGCAGAGTGAGGGGCACATGTGCTGGGTGTGAGCAGCACATGCGTGCTCGCTCTCCCATGCTCACTTGCTAATACAGGCACCTGAGGCCCAAGGGGAACAGAAAGGTCCAGATCTATCAGGGAGGCAGAAGTCACAGTACTGGGGCCTGCATTACCCATGACTTGATCTCTGAACTACAGTCCTACCAAGGTCAGAGCCAAGACCCCAGTGGGGCCAGTGAGAAGATGTGTGGAGCTTGGAGGAGAAGCCTGGATTATCATGCCAGAGGAGAGAAGCAGCCCCTTCACCTGCCTGCCCCTGGCTGGGGTTCTGCCCAGGGCCCCAAAAAAGGGCTGCGGGCCCAAACCATTGAGACCCTGTGCCTGTTAGAGATTTCATTTCTTTCCTCTTCAAAGCATTATAGATTGATTGCCAAGTCTTGCCATAAATCAAAAGAAAGTCACTACTCATTACCTACTTAGAATTCCCCAAGTTCTTCCTAGGAAACCATTTCTCAGCTGTTTGATCTCCGAGCCACCAGCACTATCTCCGGGCCCGCCACCCATCACGGTAGCTACCAGACACTTTTTTCTTCCAGGCTCCTTTCTCAGTACCCAGATGAATTTCCACCTCTCTCCGGCTTTAAGAAGAGCTTCCAAGATAAATGATTCAAAGACTCCAGCTCATGCTGAAGATATACGGACTAATGAAGCCAATTCTGCAAAAGTGAGAGGTAGGGAGAAAGGCACTGACCACACTGTCACTGGACAGGCCACACTGGCTGCTGGGCCAACTCACCCGGCACCAAGACTCTGCAGTCTTTTCACCTGGGGAATGGTGATGCTTATCCAGTGCTGGCCAGCCCCAGCTGCTCACGCCATAGCCTAGGCCTGTGACTTGTCACAGAATGTCACCAAGGCCCCGGGGGTGAGCTGTTTGTGGCTCATGGGAGGGAGGAGGTGCCTCCTTTGCACACTGTGCATCCAGTCCTGCGGTTGGTAACACTTTCCAAAGAACCTCCACCTCACAAAAGGGCATGCTCACAGCCACAGCTGCTCCCCTAACCCCAGGAGAAAGGCCAGGCAGCCATCAGCCTCCCTACTCCACTGCAGACCTGAGACCCCAGCTTTCTGACACGCCCCTTGCTGTCAAGCCCATGTGCCCATCTCCCACCCATCCGCTGGTCCCAAGAAGGCATCAATCCCCACTTCTCCTGCTTGGATGAAGAACAAGAAAGTAAAACAACAAAAACAAGCCCGGCCAAGCTCTGACCTAACCAGGCATCTGCCATGGATAGGGATGGACCTGCAAAGGCCTGAACCAATAAGCCCTCAGGCTGGGGTCACCTCAGGCTAGGGGGTCCCACAGTGCAGCTGGTCCTGGCTGGGGCACCCAGAATAGCCAACCGAGCAAGCCACGGAGCTTCTGAAGGCTGTGCTGTGGGAACGGCCCTAGCCCCAGGCCCAGACACAGACAAGGCCAGAAAACACCACCCACAAATTAGGGGACCCTAGAGCACTGTCACAATGCACCCATGGAGCTGGCACCAATATGTGTCAGTGTGGCAGGTTCACAGAGGGTGGCCCCAGGGAAAAGCACATGGCACAAATGCAGGGCCAGAAGGGGATATGGAGGCAGGAACCCTGGGCTCTGCCCCCATAGAATAGTCTGGTCCAACAAAAGTGTGGCAATCACATGCAACTGGCTGAGTTCCTGAACAGCAGGAATGACCCCAGGCCCCTTTCTGTGGTCCCTGGGACAGATCCCTGCAAGAGCTCGATGGAGGAGCTTGAGACAGAGGAAACATCATCAATACTGCAGGCAGGACAGCTGGGCTGAGGGCTGTCACCAACACCGAACAGCGCCGACAGCTGCCGGCAGCTGCTCCCCTGGATGTCCAAGTCTCTTCACACCCTCCGGCATGCAGTGAGCAGGGTCCTGCGTCCCACACAAGAGCTGCAAGAGCAGCTACTAAGCAGACAGAGGTGGCCCAGCCTCCTGACTGTCCACTCTGGCCTGGGCACTCCTCCACCCTCTCCTTCAGAGCAGCTGTGGGACAGGGAGGCTGTGGCCCACGTTTGGTCAGGTGCTGGAGGAGGCTCGAGGGCCCACACTTCCCACCCTCCATGCCACACACTGAGGGGAATGAAACACAGAGCCTGGGTGCAGGCAGGGCATAGAGGGCCCAGCCTGGAGGCTTCACAGACCCAGGACACAGGGCCTGTTGCTGGTCCTCTTCGTGCAGGAAACCCGCTTTGTGGCTCCATCATAAATTACCTCTAGGCTTCAAGAGCACATGTGCCTGCTCACAGAGATGGAAACACCTTTCAAAGTTCTTGGGTTAAACCCTGCGTGACATCCACAGAATTCAGAGCTAGGAAGGAAAAAGCTCCAGGCCCAGAATAATTGCTCCCACAGGGAATGTCTTTTTGCACCAGCATGTAAAAGGTCTGGATGAGAATTTTCTAAAACCCGGCACCAAATCTGGGCAGCATAATCACAGCTGTCTGCCTGCTCCAGGAGCCAGACCAACATCCCTGCCTGTGGAATAATTCCTCATTAGATGCCCCCAGGATGGGCCATAATGCTTTCCAATGGTCAGACGAATAGAACAGAGCCCCCTCCAACACTAGGGGCTCCTTCAGAGACTCGTCAGGAAAGAGGAAGAGGCTCCCTGGAATGGGAGTGGGGCAGGACCAGCTCAGAAGGCCCAAGGCCTCTAGCAGAAGAGAACTGACCAGAACAGAAACTGACACAAAACATGAAAAAGTCTCTTCTTTCCCTAGAGCACTCTCACTTTTCTTGAAATACATGACCCTTTTGATTCTCTTCTTTTTATTCTTTTGATAGAGATACCAGTATAAGAAATCTTTCTCAACTAGGGAAGAACCAGCAGCCCGAGCATGATGAAAGGGGCCTCAGTGCTGGGGGAGGTGTCAGGGAGGGATGCGGCCTGCAGTGTGTACCCAAGGACTACTCAGCCACCACCAGGTCACTGGTCTGTGGGATTCCAGCCTACAGTTACAAGCTATGCAGATTTTCTAGAAAAGGCCGAGAAGATCTCCTGATTTTAAATCATTGACTCAAATTAATCAAAACAACAATGAAACCTCCCCATTGTGTGGGCCAAAATAAAGCTCCTGTGCACTGGGTTGAGCCTAGAAGCTGGCAGTTTACAAACTCTGGTCTTTGTCTTGCTAGAAAATTCTTCCTGGAATTTCCCCCCATCAAGGCCTTGAGCAGACAGAAAGGCCTTGGGAGGTACACAGAGGCTCAAGTCCAGCCCTCA